TTTTTTATCATTAAATAATTATATTAATTTATAAAAAAAATAAAGTACTACTTTATATTTTTTTTATTAGTAAAAAAATTTCACTCCTCGAGTTGAAGGTAGCCGAAACCATTGCAATTAAGATCTATAGATCCTAAGTCCTCCGGAATCATCCTCAACAAAGCCTCATATATGAAAATTCTATTAATGATTTATTGGATTGAGTGGAATGAATTTGATTTTTTTTAATTAAAATTTTGAATTTAAGTTTTATGAATAAAAAATAAGTGTTGAAAAATTTTTTTTTTAATAAAATTTAATTTGACTTAATTTCAGATTAATTAAAAGTCAATGTAATTATCAAAAATAAAAAAGTTAATAAAATAAATATATATATATATATATATGAAAATTCCAAAATTAAGACAACAAAATTATTACCGTACAGGCTGCGGCATAGATATCGCACGCCAAGGTTGCGTTTCCACGTCTCCAAGTTTAGTTTCGGATGACCCTTTGCATTTAGCCACGCGAAAGATCCGTATTTGATAAGATTCATAACTCCAATCTTATCAAACTCATTTCAAAATACCCTTAAAATTACATTTTACTTAATTATTAATAAAAAGAATAAACTCTGTATCATTAAAAATTTATTGTTTTATGAATAATTAAAAAATAATATAATCCGTGACATTCTCTTACATTTATTATTGTGAGGACGCAGAAAAAGTACTCAAATTTATACCTCGAAAAAATAACCAAAAAAAAAAAAAAACCATCACAAATCTAATCTGATTTAATTGCACCAAAGGATAATAATATATATCATATTTAAAGTCACACCCTTTCTTACACATTGATAAATTCTTTTAGTATATTATTAAAATTAATAAAATTTATTAATTTTAACAATAAAAATAATAAAAATCATTAATTTTAAAAGTACATTAACGAAAATTGTTAATGTATAACAGAAAATGTAATTTTTGAAAATATATGTATAATTTTCCTGCACCAAAACATTTCGATGATATGCACTAGTTACACATTCCCGGCATTTTAATACCGGAAACAAATTCTAGACTTCTTGGCTTCTGGCGCTATAAAAAGATTTTCTAAGTACTATTAATTCCTCATTTACTATTAATTCCTCATTTACAAATTCTAGACTTCTTGGCAAATGTAAGTCTAGGTAAATGGGGGAAGACAACACGTGTTGTGTGCCATGACATCTGACTAGTCAACAATGCACGTGCCTCTAAATTAGTTGTGTCAATTTTCAAGACCCAACGTTGTTGGTCATTTGATAGAAAAGACCATTCGCATCTGTATACAACTCGATTTCACACCACCAGCAAATAAATCATACTCGTAACATGCATAACATTTCATGCTGGAGGTTTATGGTATCGAAAAGTCGGAACCTTAATTTGTCTTGTCTCCTGCTTTGATCTCTATTTTTTCAAAGAAAGCAAAAAAATTTTGTCAATATCATTAAGAGTGTAAGAAGAATTAGTAAGTCAAAAGATAAAAAAATTTGTGTTTTATTAAATGTTATTCAAAAAAAAAAAAAAAAAAAAACCTTAATGAGTTGTGTGGTGCTTCTAGTTTTATTTTTAAAAACCCTAAATTATAAGTAAATACAATGTGTATTTTTGAAATAAAACTAGGGGCAACAATTATATTGTATATGTATTAATTTATTTAATAATATATTATAACCGTAAATTTATAATCTTATATGTTATTGTAACTGTATTATTGTTGAATTGTTAAAGTTCAATCTCATATATCACTTTTGTGCCATCACTATTTTAGATCATCAATTGGACATTGATCCCTTCTTCTTCTTCTTTTTGAGCAAAAGTAAATTCATCAATAGTATAAAATTGCAAAGGTTACAAGCCAATCCATATGATGTAATGCACTAAAGGCAGCACAAAATCTAATTCTAAAAGTGTAAAACATTTAGTTTAGGAATTGTAATAGAGCAACCTAATGGTTATATGGATATATATTATAGTCTAACCAAGTTTTTGTTATGATGGTGAAGTCGTAGATCAGCATAATCCACAAAGAAAAAAAGATAAAAATGATAATTATTGAGATAGTTTACTATTAAAAGCATTTTAAGGCAACACTAGACCATCAACCAGTGCTTGTGCTCTGAACTTTTAATAAAAAAAGATATAAAATAAATAAAATCCAGACAACTTATGCCTAAAAAAGATAAACTCCCACATAAGTTAACCAGGGAGACAAGAAACCATGAAAAAGACTTAAAAAATGAAATAAAATCGTAGAAAATAAATAAGAGAGACGAAGAATCAAAAGGAAAAAAAGAGAAAAAGAAATGAGGGAACAAGAGGCAGAAGCAGAGTGGTGGATAGGATTCCACTCTCATCTGTTTCTTTCTTTTTTCTATCCCTTACTAATTTTTTTTTTTAAAAAAAAAAATTGCTTAGCCCCTCACATAGATTCCTAGCTCCCTATTAAGGCAGCGTGTTTCTCACATTAAAACCTATTTAATAACCCCTTCTTAGCCCACTCCCATGAACTTGTCCTCATCTTTTTTTCTGGCTCTCATCTTTCCCTGCCTCCATCTTATATACCAACCTTAACGTAAAATAATATATTTTACACTCCAGTCCTCTCCTTCCCATATATCCCATTTGTCCCTCAGGTTTCACAGATCTTTAATTTCTTTCAATCTTCTAACATTTTTTACATACCGTAATATACCTAGTTTGCAACATTAATATGTCAAGCGGAAGATCGGGTTCGAGTCGAAACACAGGTGCACCCCGGCTCACGGATGACCAGATCACTGATCTTGTCTCCAAGTTGCAACAACTTATCCCTGAGCTTCGCAATGGCCGCTTCAACAAGGTACACACTATCTCTAATTAAACTCAAATTTCTTTTCTATATATGGCCCTTGTTCAATTTTGAATATAAGTCATAGTCATTGCCTCATTTATTTTGATGTGCAGCATGTTGAAATCTGCAATTAACTCAATCAATTCCCAATTAGCATGCATCATGTTTTACTATCCCCTTCATTCATTAATGTACATGTTTTATTTAGGGAAAATGATTGATTTACTTTTTGATTCAATATATTTACTATACCCACTAACACTTATGTTAATTATTAAAATCTGTAACTTTAAATTTTTTCACTTTTAATTCTACAATATTTATGGATTAGTGTCCTTTATTTAGTTCTCTACGCCGTTGGTTTGTAGGTTGAATATCTTGGATACCCCTTTCCCCTCTAGGATACTACATATGATATATATGTATATAATTGTCTTCTTCAAAAGAAAAAAGTCCATGTTTGATTTTAGCTTAAACCCAAAAATTTAATTTTTCTTCTTTTCCTTAATTTTTGCAGGCTTCAAGTTCAGGGATCTTGCAGGAAACTTGCAACTACATAAAAAACTTACAAAAAGAGGTGGATGATTTAAGCGACCGTTTAGCTCAGCTTTTGGCTTCGAAGGAGACTGATGATGACCAAGCAGCCATTATTAAGAGTTTACTCATGTAACTTAAGTCATTGTTGTATTCGGTTTTTATTCCAGTTTTTCCATGTTTATTATCTTTCTACCTAACGTTTTGTTCAGTACGAAGTGATCTACTTCCATATTTTGGACTGTATCTGCTTTGGTCATGATAATATATTTCTTTAGTTCTGCTGTCTTAATTTGAGCACTCAATTACGCTCCCCATACCAACCTTAATCTTGTTTTTTTCTTTTTCTGAAGGCCAAAAAAAAAAAAAAAAATTGTCATTTTTTTTATCAACCAATAAATTAATTTAATTTATCAAAGGGAGAAATAGAACTATCCTCTGTAAAATCAAATGAAAATAGTGTAAAACAGGTTATCATCTTAATTATATTTTTTTGAAAACCCACCTTATAATTAATATTTGTAAAAATTGATCATTAGATCAAAAGTTTTATTTACATAGATTATATATATTAATTTTCATATTGATTTAACACTTATAATCCTTCAATAAAAAAACTCTATTTATTTATATATACATATATTCAACAATATTAAATTTTATGTAATTACTGAAATAATTAAGCTTATTAAAACGATATAAAAATTGACATACATAATTTATATAAATAGAATTTTCAATTCAATAGTTGATTTTTTAAAGTATTAATTAAAAATGAGTTTATAAATATGTGTTTAAAAAAAAAATTGGGAAGACAACTAGCAAGACACTTTTTCCAAATTAAAATATCCATCTCTCCAAGATTTTAAATTTCTAGAGAGATGACATACAACTTTCCAATTAATTGTCCTAAATTAATCATTTTTTTTAATTTTTTAGGTAGATAAATATTCACCTGCTATGTGATAAATTAGAGGAGTTATATGAAGAAGAAGAAGAAGTCATTCACTAAAAGATGAGTTACTAGGAATTATTCACCTGCTATGTGATAAATTAGAGGAGTTATATGAAGAAGAAGAAGAAGAAGAAGAAGAAGAATCACTAAAAGATGAGTTAATTTTAATATTATGAAGAAGAAGAAGAAGTCATTCACTAAAAGATGAGTTACTAGGAATTATTCTCCTGCTATGTGATAAATTAGAGGAGTTATATGAAGAAGAAGTATGTGATAAATTAGAGGAGTTATATGAAGAAGAAGAAGAAGTCATTCACTAAAAGATGAGTTACTAGGAATTATTCACCTGCTATGAAGTCATTCACTAAAAGATGAGTTACTAGGAATTATTCACCTGCTATGTGATAAATTAGAGAAGTTATATGATGGCTCTTAATTACTATTGTTATTGTATGAAGAAGAAGAAGAAGTCATTCACTAAAAGATGAGTTACTAATAATCAGGATAATGTTACATGTTGCATGTTGTAAAATAGAAGAAGAAGTCATTCACTAAAAGATGAGTTACTAGGAATTATTCACCCGCTATGTGATAAATTAGAGGAGTTATATGATGGCTCTTAATTACTATTGTTATTGTATGAGAAAGAAGGAGGAGGTAAGGAAGTTAAAGGGTAGAAGATAAAAAAACATACCATAAATTTGATTTCTCTAACGAATTAATTTCCATTCTAAAATGAGAGCATATATAATACAGAATAATTAGAAAATTTCACTCTAATATCACATCATTAGAACTAATTAATATTATTTTATAAAAATTTATATTTTTATATTAATTCAAATAAATACTTAATAGAACACTTATTACTTTCCAATACATATATTTAAACAAAAATTTCTTAAAAATTATATCAATATTTTTTTATTTAACTCATATTTTATATATTCAAATTAAAACATTTAAATTAAAAAATAGATATATATATATATATATGTAATATGTTAGATGGTGGATTAGTAAAACAATAACATTGAAAGCTCCCATCGCAGGCATTGAAATCTAATAACATTTTCTCTATTTAAAAATATAATTTTTTTAAGTTTTTAAATTAAATAGTAAACTTTTTTTTTTTCAAATAAGGATACAAACTTTTTTTTATTTAAGAATTTATTGAATGGTGATGGTGATGATGACATAAAAAACGACAATTTGAATTGAAATAGGACAAAGTTTGAATTAACAAACGACAATTTAAATTGAAATAGAGCAAAGTTTGAATTCTTAAATAAAAAACGCAAAGTTCGTATCTTTAAATAGAAAAGGATATTAATTGGTATATTTTCTGATTCAATATACTATACAACATATTTTTAAAATATTATTATTTTTTAATTTGAAATTAAAGGCAAATAAACTTAAAAATATAACTGTGCATACAACATGTAAAAACTGACTGAATCAATTATACTTATATTATATTTTAGGACAGTGATTGGTATACCCTATATTTTAACACTCGATTTAATACTCTTCGGTTTAATCATTAAAAAATCACAAATTTTTAGTTTGAAATTAAAAACAGACAAGTATAATGATACAATCATGCACACAGGATACAATAACCGACTGAATTGACTGTATTTATATTATATTTTTAATGATTAAACTGAAAGGTGTTGAACCAAGTATTGAACCGGAAGGTATACCAATAATTTTCCTATAGTTTAATAGTTGAATCGGATAAATATCAAAAGATATGTTGAACTAGAGGGTGTACTAATAGTTTATAATAGAAAAAAGTAAAAATTTATCGCCTAATTTAAAAAGCCAAAAAATTCACACCCTTAAATAAAAAATGCAAAATTCATATTCTTATATGAACTTGTTCTCCGATTTTAATGCCCAAAAGTGCACAAAAATCTCTTATGAGAAATGCACCAATTGACGCAAAAAAAGTTGTTGCTTTGTTCTTCTTTTGGAGAGAGCTCCCATTGAACACTACTAGAAAATAAGGTTAAATCAATTGAAATTTTTGTTGATTATAAGGGAAATTTTGTCAATTATATATAACCAACAGATATAATTGATAGCCAACTTTACTAAATAAACAAAGGTTAAAAATAAGGATAATCAATAAAAATGTTTTCTATCGATTATAACACTTTAATCAACAAAAATTGCTATCCATTATACTAGTATAATCAACATCCATTAGCTATCAATTTTGTTTGTTATATTTTATAAAACAGAATCAACAAACAATATTTGTCAATTATACTAGTATAATTGATAGAAAAAGTAGTCAATTATATTTGCTCTAGTAATAAAAAAATCTAGAATTAAAAAAATTCATAATTAAAATTTTAATTTTATAGTTATTAATTAAATTATAAAGTCATTAAACAAAATTTAATGATAAAATCAATCGAGTGCAACAACAATATATATAAAATAATTTTGAGAATAATTGAAAAAAAGAACAATATCCAAATATTATGAGAATTAATGAAAAACAAGATAAATGACAAGTAATTTACCTATAATGAAATAAAAAAATGTGTAAAAAGAAAAAAGAAAAAGAATTGTTATACATTATAAGTTTTTATTCAAGTAAAAGGAAATGAAAAATATAAATTAAAATGTGAATTTACCTCATAAAATGATTTTAAGATTAATAATATGCAAAATTAAAAATAAAGAATTATTAGTAGATCAAATAAAAGTAATTGGATGATAACTGAAATAACAAAAAAATGAAAATAAAAAAGAGCATAAAAACCTTGAGATGAAAGAATGAAAGAAAATGAAGGAAAAGTTGAAGGATGGCAACTAAACATGAAAATAGGAAAGGTAGAAGGAATGATGAAAGAAAAGTAGAAACAAGAGGGTAAGATGAAGACATACAATGTAAGAATTAGAAAGGGAGAAGATGAAAGAAGAAAGAAAAATAAAAATGAAAGGGAGAAGAAGAAGAAGATAAGAACTGAGGGAGAAGGAAAGTGGGGTGAAACATCGGTAGGAAAGGAAGGAGAAGGGGAGATGTAGGAGAAGATGAGATTAGAAAATATTTGTTGATTCTCTTTTTGTGTCCATATATATAGACAAAACATACTCGACATAAATTCTATTGATTATATTTTAAAATGCTTGTTGGTTATATTTTAAATTAGATCAACTATAAAATCTAACTTTTCTTTTGTGGGAAAGGCAATATGAGTACAATCAACAACATAGTATGGCTATCAATTTTGTTTGTATAATTGACAACTTTGTTATTGGTTATACACGACAATGGTTATAGATTAATCTGTTTGTAGCCTTTTGACATGGTTAAAAATTAGTTCACAGATTATTTGTAACAAAAATTTTAGTACCATTAAAATAATTTAGTACCATAAAATGTGAGATTTATTTTAATTAATATTATTATATTGATTAATATAAACTCCATCACCATACATTTATAGTTAATTAAATCATTATATATAAACAAAATATATACTAAAAAATAACATATAAGTGTTCATATAGAAATTTTGTACATTACACATAAACATATATAACCTTAGCATAAAATATCAATATCTCTAATTCTATGTTAGAGGATTATTGTTTTTTGGTTAGTCAAGGCAAAATATATGTATAATCGATAGTTACTATTGGTTGTTGGTTATGTCAAAATTTTATAGATATATATATATATATTAATATTTAACCTTTCATTAGTAGCATTTATAAATATATTAT